TGTCTGGTAAGTTGTAAGATTTGTGCTATGGCTCGTCATAATTTCCAAAGCTGTGTTGAGTTATTTTCTCTTTAGTTAACATCCAGGCATGATGGCTTCAGATTTATTTAGTTCACCTCCATGAATGGCCTCTCATAATATTTGAGACTAATATCATTAAAATCGAACCATGTAATTGATTGATCTGCTTGCTTTTGTTTCTAATACCCTAATAAGTTCAGATTCAGTTCGAGTGACATGTTTCCAATTATGCTGGTTATTTCTTTTTTTTGAAGGTATGAGCTTGGAAGACAACCTGCCAACACAAAGCTGTCAAGCAACAAGACAGTTAGGAGGGTTAGGGTTCGAGGTGGGAATGTGAAGTGGCGTGCATTGAGGTTGGACACAGGAAACTACTCTTGGGGCAGTGAGGCTGTGACCCGGAAGACTCGTATCTTGGATGTGGTTTATAATGCTTCAAATAATGAGTTGGTTAGGACCCAAACTTTGGTGAAGGGTGCAATAGTTCAGGTCGATGCAGCACCATTTAAGCAGTGGTACCTTCAGCACTATGGAGTTGACATTGGTCGCAAGAAGAAAACCGCTGCTTCTGCCAAAAAAAGGAGGAGAGGTATTTGAATTTACTTGGTTTTGTTTGATTAAGTTGGGTTTGCATTTTTGTAAGGTTGCTTGTGAATATTTTGCAGTTACTATTTTGTTGGTGATAGACAGGAATCATATAAATGTGATATGTTTTAGGATATAAGCAGTTGAAGGAAGATTATAGTTTGACAGTCATTTTTTATTTGGTTTGTGGAATTGTGTTGAATTCAAACCTGACATGCGTTTTTGTGTGGTTGCTTTTGACTTTGTTGAATATTTTACAATAATGGTGTCAGAAGAATCATAAAGTGGTATTTGTATAGTGATAGTTGTAATTTTCTTCCCTTTTTTCCAGTTCAATTGGATAATGATTTTTAATTTTCTTTCCTTTTTTCCAATTCAATTGGATAATGATTTTTCCCCCATTTCAGTTGGATATAAATCCAGTGTTTTTGTTTTGCTGTAATTAAAGGTTACATGCTGTATTACATCCTGTTAATTCTGGAGGGGTTGTATGATGCCTGCTGCTGACATGACAAAATGTGAGTGGTTATCGGAAGTGTTTAGATGCAGTGTATTATGGAGAAGCCGTACCCATTTTACTTTTCAGCCTTTTACATCATCTGCTTCGAACTACTATATGTTATTGCCTCTTTACCTTATTAGCGTTCTCATGTACCATAAGTTTAAATTTTTTGAATACCTTTATCCTTTATAATTATCTTTTTGTCATTTTCATGTTGAAATGGTGTTCCTTCACATCCTTCATTATTCCCCATGATGTAAATTTATGTGATTGTTTCATTCCTCTGCTGATGTTGACATTATTGTAATCTAATTTGATTATGCCATCCTTTGTTTCTTAAGCTCTTGGGGGAACATGATCTAATTTTAGTTGCCTATTTATGTAATTAGATATCCAATATTGACGGGCACCACACAAAATTGCACTACTTCATTAATAAATAGTTAAATAATAAAGGTTTACATTTGTAGATATGATCAAAGATTGGACAAGATTCCACTGTATATTTCTTTTTGGGATTTTATGCAACTGGTCAGTATTCCCAAAAGTTGTGGAAGAACAATATTTTAGGTGTTCTGGAATTATTAGTGGTGTTTTGTAGCAAATCCATTAGATAGGTATTGTTGATGCTATTTCATTTTTTCTTCTTATGATGTGTTCTGGAATTATTAGTTGTGTTTTGTAGCAAATCTATTAGATAGGTATTGTTGATGAATGCCATTTCTTTTTTTCTTCTTCTGATGTGTTCTGGAATTATTAGTGGTGTTTTGTAGCAAATCCATTAGATAGGTATTGTTGATGAATGCTATTTCATTTTCTTCTTCTTATGATGTGCTCTTTAATCGGATTATAGGAGGGTGATGCCGCTACAGAAGAGGCAAAGAAAAGCAACCATGTTGTCAGAAAACTGGAGAAGCGCCAACAGGATCGCAATCTTGACCCACATGTCGAAGAGCAATTTGGAGGTGGCCGTTTGTTAGCTGCAATTGCATCACGACCTGGCCAATGTGGTTGCTGTGACGGGTATGCATTTCTACTTTGCTAATATTTCACGACTATATTACCCTGTTTCTTATGCTTCCTTTAGTTGGTTTACTTAATTGCTTACTCAAAAGCATGGAAATACAGCTCTGGCTTCTAACTTAGAAAGAGTGCTTCAAAAAAGCCATTTTGTTGCAGTATAATACCTTAATAACACTTTAGTGGACCACCTTGACAAACCTTGATCATAATTAGTATGGAAGATTGAATAGAGTGGCTCATGTTCACAATTTATGATCAGAGCTGTATGGTCTTTCTCTAACCATTTCTGAGATCCAATGATGTTGCGAGATTGCTTTTTCTAATTTTTTTGAGGGTTTCTTCTTATGGTGTGGTTGTGAAATTGCTTCTGACAGATACATATTGGAGGGCAAAGAGCTGGAGTTCTATATGAAGAAGCTCCAGAGGAAGAAGGGAAAGGGCGCTGCTGCTTAAAATCTTGCTACCGCAAATTCTTCTGTGAAATCAGAGTTTCAATTTTCCCCTATCCATTTTTATTTTCTTTAGCCATGGAACTGAGAATTGGTTGACTGATAAAGTTAGCTTGAACTATTTTTGTCATATCCTTTTATGTTTTAAAGTTAAACATCAATGCAACATTCTGTTTTAATCAATGGTCTTATTGTTGTTAATGTGGAACTTCATTTTTATGTATAAATGTTAGATGGCTTCAAGCACTGTTATGTGAGGCAGTATCAGGTCCTATAAATGTCGTGCATTTCACTCTGTAATGTATTTCAAGTTTCCACTGATTACTTTTTAGTTAGGGTATCAGGGAAAAGTCCTCTCAATGCTCTAATGCTCACACCATTCCGGTGTCACCAGATACAGACTACGTTCTGAACCTGGCCCTCTTTTAACTATGTTTTTCGATCGGGTGCAGTTTTACAGTTAACTTACCAAAGAGTTTGATGATGTTACTGGTCCTGCCATAACCAAAAAAGTCATGAGGAGAAATATATTTCTTCTCTGAATGAACTGTGCTACTCTAGTTTTGGTGAGCTGCCTGGGGGTGGTGGTTTTGGAATTTTCACCAATTGTGCCCAATGTGAATGCATTTGGTACAAGTACATTTTCTTCCTCTACCATGCCTAATTGATGTGCGTACAGGCTTGTTTGGTTTAGTGTTGTAAACGATTTTTTAAGATTGTTGAAACATAATAGTTTTCAGTGACCTACGAACACAGTTTTCAAAATCAGACCAAAGTTGTTAGTTTAAGATAGCTTTTGAGGGCCATTTGGCTTCCATGGTGTACATATTGCACCAGGATTTAGGAGTTAGATTAAGTTGGTTTTAATGATCTCTGTCCGAGTGACCTCCTTTTACAGCTGTATACCATTGGCTTAGTTAGGGTTTTTTTCCATTAACGATCTCTGGTTTATTTTTTCCATTAACAATCGCGGATGATGTTTAAAGTTGGCCCCTATGGTAGAGTATCTAGCACATATCAAGGATGGCTGAACTGCTATTAGTCTCAGAGAGTCCTTGACCAGAGAATATAATATGTATCTATATATACATATATAAATAGACAGGGTTAAGAGCAAAACGGGCCTTTTACAGGGTGCATACCATTGGCTTAGGGTTTAGAGCAAAACAAGAGGGAAGCCAATGCAATGGCAGATTGTGGATTGCTGGTTCGTGATTTTTCCATTAACAACCACGGATAACTGTTGGTCTGACTTTTAAAGTTGGCCCTGCAGTAGAGTTTCTAGCACGTAGATGGCTGAACTGCTATTAGTCTCACAGTTCTCAGCATATAGGCATTGACATGTAAAGATTCAATTTGGTAAAAGCTGCTATTAGTCTCACAGTTCTCAACACGTCAATGTCTATATATATATATATATATATATATATATATATATATAGATAGAGAGAGAGAGAGAGAGAGAGAGAGAGAGAGACCAGACGTTGACATGTAAAGATTCAAGGGTTATATATCTTGTAGCTGAAAATTCATTTTGAATGATCCTTACAAGTTCTTCGGTGCTTTTCAGGGGTGGGTGAGGGAGACGGTAGACGAAAGAGATGATAAAGGGGCGTTTATGTCATTTAAAATTAAAAATATTCTGTATTAAAATTTTGAGGATAAAAGGGTTAATTTGTATGTGTTTAAGGTCAAAAAGCAAATTGGGGTGTAAGTAAAAGTTAAAAACCAAATCTTCATCTAGGTGAAATATGACCTAATCGCAGGAAGTCTGAGCGAAATTAACCCAAGATTCAATTTGGTAAAAGGATCCCTTGCCCTCGTTTCCTCACCTCAATAAACTGAGATCTTTATGACCAGTTCCATTTTTCAATCTTCAAGCATCTTATGCAAAACACAATATATTTAAGGAAATCACAAAAGGGTGGCAATTCGTGTTGGCGTGTCGTGTTCGTGTCGACACGATTACAACACGGACACGATTAGGGTTGACACGAACACGACACGATTATTAATCGTGTCTAAAACCCTTGACACGATTATTATACATGTAACACGACACGACAAACATAATCTGTTTAATAAATGGGTCAAGACTTGACACGACATGAAAAGACACATTTAAGTCATTTTTGACACAAATACGATATATTTATTCTATACGTTTTGCTAAATGGGTCATTTTTGACACGAACACGACACGTTTATCTGACACGTATAGTTAATCGGGTTAATCATGTCATAATCGCGTTTATAAGGTTAAACACGAACACGACACGTTTAGTTAGCGGGTCAATCCATGTCGACACGATTATGACACGAACACGATTAGTCCAAACCCAAACATGCTTATCTCGTGTCGTGTTCGTGGCGTGTTGTGTTAAATATTGCCACCCCTGAGGTCCACAATGGTAGAGCTGTAATCAGTTTTAATTATGTGAGCTACATATATATATATATTTTTCCAGGCAAAGAGAAACACTAAGACTGATTAACAAAGAGGTTACAATCCAGACAGCAAGCAAAGAGAAAAATTGACTTTCTGACTGGCAGTTTCAAAAGCACGAATACTTGTTATCTTCCATGGCACCTGTTGAAACCTATTTCGACAGCAGTACCAGAAGAAAGAAGTGATGCTACTCTGACAACGTCATTGATTTTCCAGTCACATCTTGAAGCAAGCCTATGGCCGATACAACGTGTTACTATAAGTAGAATCACTTGCCTGCCCTAATTCTAAAAGACTGCACCAAAAGGTTCTGCTCAAGACATTTAGCCAGAGCACCACATTGTACTCGATAATTAATTGCACATTTCTTCCTCATATTCAGTATAAGAGTAGAAAGAAACTATAGGAGAATCCCAAAATACCATTCTTGACAACTTCACTACATCATTAACCTTAAGAAATAGATGATTTAATGGTGTGAAATCAGCAATTCTCTATTCCAAAATGTGCAATGGTTGAAGATTAAAACAAGGAAAACGTCAGTCGTTCAAGGAACAATACACACACACATACATATATAAGAGAATGTTTTGCAAGCACAGATCAAAATCATGTTAGTGATGTTTCATTTTTTTTTCCATTTTTTTTTAATTTAAATAATGGAAATAGTGTTGAGCCTTAAAAAAGAAACAGGAACAATAAATTCATATATCGGAAATGAGGATGTTAAGGTCGATGATAAAGGTACCTAGAAGATGTAGGGTTACTAATCAAAATGTGAGAAAATTGACTTATGTTATATGGACATATCTGAAGAAGACTCGTGGACGCTTCGGTACGAAGAGGGTGAATAATTGGGATTAAAGGATAAAGAGGGCGACCGAAGTTAACATGGGATGAAATCATCACAAATGATTTTAAAAAGTTAAACTACTGTAAGAGAGATGACAGATGACTTGTAATAGAAAATAATGGAAAAAGGAAACTTATGTGGACGACCCATATGAGATGAAGACAAGGATAATTATGAGGATGAGTATCGAATGAAGGAAATTGTAGAAGTGTTAATGTAAATAATGAAGCATGATATTTGTCAAAATGTTATAAACAAAATGTACATTTGCCAAGGTGTTGTAAAGAACACCAACCACTAATATCACAAAATATAACTAAATTAACATCAAAAGTAATCTTAGATGTCTCAGTCTTTCCATCCCCACTTCAATAGCCTTATTGGTCAATGTCCTTTCCATAACTGTATGGAGATAGACAAATAAAAAATAAAAAAAATATAAAACAACTATTTGGAGATAGATTCCTTCTTTGCCTATACCCGACCAAATTATACGATCCATGTTACCATTCATATTTATAAGGGTTTGGCTCTCTTCAAGCATTTTGAAGGATATAATTGTAAAGCATGAAAAGTAAAATAATTTGTGTCATATAATGTGTGATATATTGCGATAAGTTCCAACTTTATGTCGATACAATGAGAGTTCCATTTTGAAATGTATGAGAATATTCTTGTCAGAAATATCCACCATTATGTCATGGTATTTTGCAACATATATTTTTTGAATTCAAGATTACATATAAAATTCATATTGCATCTTGAAAATATCCAATATATAGATTGATAAATTACAATAAATTGTGATTTTTTATTCCTTGCGTTCACTTATACTTTAATTCTCATGAGACTGAAAATTAAATACGATGATTTTTTTTTTTATCCCAAACGAGATCTCTCTAAAATGCTTAGTTCTATTAACTGGCAAACATTGTCAATTCAGAGTGGATATCACAGTGATTCAACACATGACAAACCCCCTTACCCACCCAAATTATCGAGGTCAAACAACTATTAGTATGCCCTGAGCCCCAGGCACCCATAATCAAGTACATTCTAACTGTTGACCTGCCCAAATTTAAAGCAACATATGGGCTGTTCTTTATGCATCACAATCTAGCAAAGAAGACACCTGTCCTCAAAGTGTTCCATCAGATAAAATCATAAAAGGAAAAAGTCAGGTGATGAATTTCTAAATCTCTTAACAGTGTAAGTGCACAAACTTTATAAACAATTTGATCCAACTTGCGATATTTTAGAAATTTTAACAAATAAGGAGCATACCTAGATCAATGAGTTGAGTACCCTTCTTTCACTTGCCATATTTCTGTCTCAATCGTTCTTTGACAAAGATCATTTCGAGCTTTTGTTCGAGCTTGTTGAGGGGCAACATTGACATATGAAAGATGCACACCAATAGCAAAAAGGGAGGCGCCACCAAGGAACAATCCAATGGTCATCACCAACTTCTTAGGAGTAGAAGGAAAGCACGAAACCATCTGATTATAGTTCAAGGACACAAAGAGGTAGGTTTTATTGAAGAACTGATAGCAAAACGATCCATATACAGCATATAAGGAGATCATAATTGAGGATTTCCAACAAGGAAAGGCAGAAGATCCCTACATATTTCAAAACAAATGGGTCTTTATGCTTATAAAGATGTCATGAAACATTTTTTGAATACAAAAGTTCAATTATTCCCACAAATTAGTCGTATAGAAGGATTCCTTGTATAGGAAAAAAGAAAAAGAAAAAAGTAATGGGCCAATCGCCATAACCCCCGAAGATATATCATTACGAGCTAAGCTCGATATTCTTATGTTTCAGAGGAAACTTGTGAGTTTTTTCAGTCTAACCAATAGATATAAGAACTCCTTATTCTTCTAATTTATGGTAGGAAAATGGAATAGGTAACAATATCATACCACTTCTAAAAATGCAACCCACACACTCCCTCTCCCCAACCACCGAACAATGTGATTTTCACACCCGATAACTCCTTAATCCTACCCCAATATTATAAGTCTTATTACTTCAACTAATTTGCATATACCTATACAAGATATATATGTTATTAACTTCAACCTATTAGTTGTGCTGAATTACATAACAAAATATAAAATATAATAAAATGTTTGAAGTTATTCATAAGCTCATGCAACAATCTTGCTCCTTTGAGTTCTATACAGCATCTCAAAGCAAAAATTTCATTACAGTACAGAAATGAAGTCATTCAAGGTAAAGACATGAAGAACATTATAATTTCATTAAAACATGACATTGATAATGTACACAGGTTTGTAATTTTTTTTTTCTTAGGCATTTATACCTACCGTTAGCCTTGAACCAAATCCTGCTCTCACACACCATCCCTTAAAAGAATTTTATTTCAAATTTCAGAAAGGAACACCAAGTGAACTCATTTTAAAATTATTACATTCCTCTGCCTCCCAAAGTGGAAGATTGAGAGTCTCCATAGTGGGCAAAAAGTGGGTGTGTGAGTTATTTGCAGAGACAAAATGTGTGTGTCTGTATATATATATATATATATATATATATATTGAAACGAAATCAAATGAATCAAAGAGTCAAAGACTAACGAGATCAAAAATCATAATATACAACACTAGCATCATTCAAAACAACAACCTTGTGAAAAATGACATTAAAACAGAACAAGAAAGGAACGCATCACAGTGGCATTTGATCAAACACGTGACAGGCGTTCTGTATCCACCCTCCAATTTCAGTAGCAACGATCACCCGCTAACAAGGTTCCATTAAATTCAAGAGTGTAAAGAAAATACAGAGTTACAACACTTCCTCAGTGTGTCTGCGCAATATGATTAAGTTTGAACATGTACTAAATTGAAGATAATTGATTCTTCTGGTAAGCAGAAAAACGTGGCAAGGGTGTGTCTCTTACATTGATGCGGAAAATGGGTTGATTTCAGTGCGACTTTGTGTTTCTGTGTTTCTGTTGCCAAAACCACGGAGAGTCGGAGACAACCAACATAGAAGTGGAGATGCTAACACAGAGAGCTTTTGTTACAGAAGTTCAGGAAATAATGTGATTTTTGCGTTAAAAAAAAAAAAAATGTGTGCTCTGTATTGTCTCGGCAAATGTTGTGATTTTAATTTTTTGCGTTAGCAACGCTGCCGTTTCTTTATCAACAAATGGTGCGACTCGAGCGTGTTAGGTGGGTTTGTGGTATAACGTGAGCTGAACTCATCGTATGAAACATTAAACCTAAGTCCAATCTTAATTCTATCCTCAATTACTCAACCCAAGTTCAACTCATACTTTTATTTTTAAATTCAAACTTACAACTCGGATTTAGATTCTGGATAAAAATTTCGGGTTACTTATATGACTAATCTTTATATCAAAAATTTAATATGATCTTCAATTAATTAATTTTAGAGTAAATTACTCTTCAATAAGAAAAAAGTTTAAAGATTTTTTTGTAGATTTTTAATAAATTACAATAAAAATTTTAGAAAATTAATTCTCCTAAATGTTGGCATATAATAATTTAAGATTTAATAAAAGAAGTTGAAAAGAAAAAAAAAAGTAATTATAGTTTAAATATTATATATAATGTATTTAAAAGTAAAAATATATATGAAAATAATATTAGAATTCGAGTTCGGATTAATTTGGGTTGCTAGCACTTTAATTCAAGGCTAACCTTAATTAAATTCGGTTTGAAATTTTTCAACCCAAACCTAACCTTAATTGTAAAAATAATTGTCTAAGTCCGTAAAAAATCAGGCTAGGCTCGGATTGGGTTTGGTTTACCCAACCCAAGTTGCACAACTAACAAATAGTGTTTCAACTTTTGACCACACTATTTACGAACCAAATAGGTTTTTTTCACTATTCATGTTACAGTAGTGACAACAATAAAAATACAAAAAACAAAACGAGTACCAATCAAGCCCATGGAGATCAAAATCGTACATTTCTTCACATTTTATTTTATGTTTTATTATTATTATTTTTAATGAAATCCTTTGAACTGTTGCTAATTTATCAATCTCATTTCAAAACAAATTCTTATTATGTTTGGGAGTACCGAATCAATATCTTAGATTTGGAATAGAAATATATTTAATGTAAATTGGAAATTGAATTTTCTCAAATTTTAAATTTAAGGCATCGATTTGATGCTTCCAAATGCAATATTAAATTTTTAATTAAAATTTTCATGTCAAAATGGTTAAATATTTCCAAATTTCTTAATTTTTTTTCTCTTGGACTAATTTCCCATTAGCAAAATTAGTTCAAACTATTGGTATTAAATTTCGTACCATTAACGCAAATAATGAGGAGAGGAAAGGCTAACAACCAATATGGTACTTAAAGTCACAATTCTTTTTAACAGATGTCACTCTTACGTTTTGAGTGCTCCCACTCTCATGTTTTGCGTATGCTATTTCTCATTTTCACTATTTGTAACTTAATTTTGTTGTTTTCACGCTCCTACTCTCGCTTTATGTAACTTAGGTAGATAAAACTGCTTCTTTTAACACTACTCTCGCTTTATATAACTTAGGTAGATAAAACTGCTTCTTTTAACAAAAACAAATTCATAATTCTGAAATGATAATACTTGATTATTGCCCTATAAGTTGAAACCTCAACGTGGGAGGTGGCTCGAGAATATTAACACATGTCTAAAAAATAAAGAACAATTTTTACCATTGGCCATATTAAAAAACAAAAAATTCATTCCTTTGATAATCATTGCACCAAAATATATATGGGGCCACATTCATGCAAATTAGAACAGTAGGATAGTTTGGTATTCTTTTATTTTATTTTTTATTTTTATACTAATATGAAATAGAGTTAAAAAAAATTAATATCAATTAAAAATGCATTATAAATAAAAAAAATTGCCGGTGGTGGCGCTACAATAGCGATTGGTTATCCCATATGTAATGGAGATGGAAAAAAAAGAAAAAATATATATAAAAATGTGTTAGTCTGAAATAATTAAAAAATATTTTACGCTCATGAATTTAAAATGAATCCACTTCTATTAATTATTTCAAAACTCTAATGATATTAGGCAATAAAGGAAACAATTACAACTTGCAACACTAATAACCCGTGTAAGAGAATCACTTTCATTAAGAATGTCACATCCCAATGCAATAAGGTCAAGTGATGAAAATTTTAGATAATTAATCAATCCGCATTTGAAAGTGACAGGGACAAAAGAAACTTGTTTGTACCAAACAACAATGTAATCACCATGGTACAAAGAAAACTTCTCTAAACATCGAACAAAAAACATCAACAATCACTTCTACAATACTTCGGTATGAATAGATGATCTAGTAACTGTGACCGGATTGAATGAATTGACTTCTTAACCCAAGCAAGAGAGAACATTTCATCAATCATATTCTCGTCTTCAAAAATTACCCTGACAGAAAGGATATGGTCGGAGAAGTGTGAGGGTGCTGGTAGCTGGCTATTAAGCATCAATATAAATTTTATTTTCATTACATGGATGTTCCGTCCCAGCCGCACCATCAACCGCACCGTCAACGGAGACTTTACTCAACATTTTTAAATAAAGCCTTTCATTCGAGATTTCTTCGAGTACTGCACAAAAAATTATAAAGAATGTCAAACAATGGAATATATACATGATAAGGAGATTAGATGTCAGTTTAAGAAATTTACATGCTTCCTTCTCATTTTTATCTTTATCTTTTGAGTTGGTGGTGTCACAGAGAGAGTTTCTCTTAACCGATATATATTGTATACGTATTATTTTAGAAATTCATTTTTAACTATGATAGAGCAAAGAATCTGGGATTGGGCCAGTATGTTTCGACTCATTAATCAATATAGAAACACAAATTTCTATTTCAAGATATAGAAGTTAAGAATAATAATGCAACAAAAACTGGCCAGCTAGGAGTGGGCAACCAACAAACAATGCAATATATATCCAATGGTACACATAGCAACTCAGCATGAAATTATCCAAATATATCATGATTTATTTGCTGCTCAACTATAAAATCCTAAAATTAATTTACTTTCACAATCCTCCTTCCTTTTTATCAATTTTAAATCTGAGTATACATAGATAAGATATTAGACAATAGAAAAGACAAAAATAATAAAAAAATATATATAAAAAAATTCATTTGAAACTAATGATTTATGCATGCTAACTTGGTTGAGGGCAACGATCAAATTAAAGCAAAGAAGTATATGATGAATGTGATAAAATTAGTAAAAAAGAAAGAAAAGAAAATACACTAATCCCTTGAATTAAACAGTACCTAAATCCCAAACCTCATCACTTGTGTCTTTGAATTTTCAAAAAGATATGCTAATATATTTCATTAGATGAGGATTCAACCATATAGGTCTATGCGGATCTTCCATCGATTATTTGAAACACTGATAGTAGAAGTAGCAGAATTTATTGAGAGAGACGTACGGGTGGTACGCAGAAAGACTATTTCAATGCAGTATTCGTCATATACATTTAGTCCCAATACTAAACACTTGCACGTGCTAAAGCTGTGCATGTCAACACATGGGCGCCAAAAGCTATGCGTGTCAACACATGTGCGCCAAAAGCCGTGCATGCCAAACACGTGTACCGAATAGTTGTCACAAAGTTACAAAAGACGGTGGTACGTAAAAAACTGTTTCAATGTAGTATTCGTCATATACGCTTAGTCCCAATACTAAACATTTGCGCGTGCCAAAGCTGTGCATGTTAAGCACATGGGAGACAAAAGCCGTGTATGCCAAACACGTGTACCGAATAGTTGTCACAAAGTTACAGAAGATGGTGGTATGCAGAAAGACTATTTTAATGCAGTATCCGTGCTTAGTCCCAATACTAAACACTTGCGCGTGCCAAAGCTGTGCATGTCAAACACGCGGGCGAAGTTGAGAGAACAAGGACATGGAAATATCAAGCTGCTACTACGAGCTATACCTCCTCCTCCTCTTTCTTTTTCTTTAGATATATCGTTTATATATAAATTCAATCTCCAATAAGTTCAAAACTGATCTATAGATATAGAGAGAGAAATTGTGGGTTGCCTTAGATATAAATTTATGCTCATAATAAGTTCTCTCTCTCATGAGAGTGCTCAGTTTGGCTGAGTTCTCTGTGATATCAGAGTCCTGTTTTTTCTCCTTCTTGTTCTGATGTTTTTGTTTTTGACGTGGTTTGGGCGTGATGCTTGTTAAGGGCTATTCGCGGTTCCGTTTTCGCTTCGGTCATGAGGTTTTCTTTCTGTGGTCCTGGTGGTCTGTTCTCCCTGTGATGTTTCTATGGTCTGTTATTGTTTGATTGGTTTATCAGCGGCGACATATGGTGTTTGTTTTGGCCTCTGTTCTTTGTTGGCTATTGGTCGGAATTCTTCATCGGCTCCAATCGTGGTGGTGTTCGTGGTTGGTGTGGCTCAGGCTTGGGTGTGTCTTGCGTGGTTGGGATGGCATCTAGTGGGCCTAGTCCGGTAAATCCCATGTGGGGATAGTTCACATGGGTTTATGTCAGGTTATGTAGGTTCTTTTAAAAATTGTGGGTTGCCTTAGAGCACATTTTTCTACAGTTGTGCTTCCTGTAGTCCTTATACTTACTTGTTGGCTGTTTTACTTGGAGTCCACGTGTTGACTCGCTTCTATACTATTCTCGTATGTTCTTTTTTTGGGTTATATTCTCTGGGGTTTATGTGTTTTTATCTGGGTTTCATGTTTTCCCCTTTCCACCGACAGAGAAAGTTATGGGTCTTCTTGTGTTGTACTATTTTTTCTCTTGTTTTTTTTGGGTTGATGGAGTCTTCTTTGATTGCTCAATTGAATGGGTTGACACTTACGCGTGCGGAGCAGCAGCCTGTTCATTTATCGGCTGAGGATACTGCTCAATGGGTGAATATGTGCTGTAATAGTTTGTTTGGCAAGGTTTGGGCTTCGAAGAGTATTACACTAGCTAGTGCTAAGTACACTTTTAGCAGGATGTTTCAAAAGCTGTGGCCAAAGGAAAGACAGAATGAAGCTTTGTCCTCACGTTTCATTGTCTATAAGATTGCAGGGAATTTGTTTCTACGGGTTATTCCGGACGGTTCGGTTCGTCTCAAGATCTTTCAAGGCTATCCCTAGTTGTTTGATGGGCATCT